GGACAGCTTTAACTGGATCAGGTTGCTCAGAACCCCGTCCAGCCTGACCTTGAGTGCTGCCAGGGATGGAGCCTCCACTACCGCTCTGGGCAACCTGTTCCAGTGCTTGACCACCCTCATTGTAGAAAACTTCTTTCTTATGTCTAGTCTAAGTCTATTCTTCTTTAGTTTAAATCCATTATTCCTTGTTCTGTCACAACAGGCCTTGCTAAAAAGATTCTTCCCATCCTTCCTGTAGGCCCCCTTTAAGTACTGGAAGGCCTCAATAAGGTCTCCTCGCAGCCTTCTCTTCTCCAGGCTGAACAACCCCAACTCTCTCAGCCTGGCCTCATAGGAGAGGTGCTCCAGCCCTCGGACCATTTTTGTGGCCCTCCTCTGGACCCGCTCCAACAGTTCCATGTCCTTCTTGTGCTGAGGGCCCCAGAGCTGGACGCAGTACTCCAGGTGAGGTCTCGCCAGAGCAGAGCACGGGGGCAGAATCACCTCCCTCGACCTGCTGGCCACGCTTCTTTTGATTCAGCCCAGGATTCGGTTGGCTTTCTGGGCTGCAAGCGCACATTGTTGGCTCATGTCCAGCTTTTCATCCACCAGTACCCCCAAGTCCTTCTCCACAGGGCTGCTCTCAATCCCCTCATCCCCCAGCCTGTATTGATATTGGGGGTTGCAGTTCCGGGTGCAGTTCCCAGTTAACAAGTGAATGGAAGGTAGGCAATGGGGATAACATATAAGCTAATGATGACCTGTGTCCGATGCTGATTTATTTTTACTCTCTCTTCTTTCAGGATCCCTCAGTGACACAGCTCACAAACACTAGCCAAGGTGGCTTGGACGAATTCAACCCCTTTTCTGAGAGCTCCCAGCTGGTATGTGCCATGTGTCTTTGTGCTGGGTATCTTTGTGGTGGTTTTAGCGCTGTAGAAGTTCCCTTGGTAGGTGCAGCTTAAAAGAAAAAGAGTGAGGAGTTTGCAGCTGATGTTCCCATGGACAGTAGTTCCTTGCATGCGTGGCAAGGTGCAAGCGACTGCTCCTGCACTGGAGCACTGATAAACTCCGAGCTCTCCACTTGCATGGAACAGCTTCTCTCAAACTTGCTGCTGGCTCACAGTAAAGCTATATGAAATGTGAAGGGGAAGATGTTTTGAGGCAGGAGGCATCAATATTTACTTGGTCTCTGGGTTGGGAGCTGAGCTGCTGTGGAGATACCATTGATAGATCGCTGCAAGAACTTCGTTCTTATTTCCTGGCTGCTGCAGTTTGTGAGATGGGAAAAAGAGAACAGGAAACCAGGATAAAGTGATATTTGTGGTTTAAACAGCTGATCAAAATAATTTTTGTTTCTCCTTTGCCTAATAGCAGTAATCCTCAGGTGCCACTCCCCTGGTGCATTAAGGAACTAACAAACTTAAAAACTCAGAGTTGCTTCCTGCTAGTGCTTTCTGTTTTAGTAGCATTAAAACTTGAACTGTCATCTGCTAAAAGAAGCCATATGTAATGGTTTTGCCTTGTTGCTTATGATTTATATGCAGACAAATGCAGCACGGACGACGCCAGCCACGCAGCCCTCTGGCCGCTCACAGCCGGCTGTTCTGCAGACATCCGTGGAGCCCACTCCCCAGGTATGGCAACCCTTTGCTGCCACCTTCCTGAGACCTGGGCTGGAGAGTGTGAAGGAGCTCCCGTGGGCCTTTAGAGGCATGTGGGAATAGGAGGGGAAAGGAGTTCTCTGGGGTTGGGTGTGGGAAGCTGCAGGTGATCTTTTAAACTTCCATTTGTACCTACCTTGCGAAGCAGATCTCTGTAGGGAATATGTACATGCAATTCTTTTTATGCCTTTTCCCTGACCCTCTGGTGGCAGAGCTCACTTTGCCTTGCATCCTGTTTGCTCTGGCTTCCTTCTGCAAACACCGAAATGTATCCTGCTAATGCTTTTAGCTTAGTTCTGGTGACTGGTTAGACAGGCTCGGTTCCAGGAGTGTTAATGCAGTCTAGCTATACATTGTAGCCACTGCTTAGACCGGCTAGCAAGTACCCGGGCTACCAGGACTACCTCATCCAAAGAGCAGAGAAGCTGAGGTTGCTAGGAGAAAGGCTCAGTTCTCACAACAGCAAACAGGTAGAAGAGATGCTGAAGAGGTGTGGTAGATGGCTGTCTTGCTTTTCCTTTGAACCTCCTCTTCCACCTGGGAAGGGAAGTGTCCTGGTAAACTTGGGAGTCCTGCTCACTGCTCTGTTGCAGGGCACTTAGAACAGTGAGGCAAACTGTGAGGTAGAATAAGCTGCAAGAAAAGCATAGCTTTGAAAGGGAAGGGTGTAGAGGATGGGCAACAGGCTGGATAGCCTCTTGAGGGCTCTTCTAGCCCTATCTTCCCGTGGGATAAGAGAGGAATATCTGGGTGGAGTTCTGCATTGATCTTGATTTTTGTCCTCCAGCAGGTAAGGCAGAAAGCCTCAAGATGTTTCACATCAGCCACTGATATTCAGCTTTCAAATTGTCCTCAACCCTTGCTATTGAATTGCCTTTGCTTCTGTTCCAGTTTGGCATCTGGTGTGTTTGCTGGTGGTATTGCCACTGCCTTGGTTAGGAAAGGACTTACCTTTTTCTTCCCCCTAATTTAGGCTGTGGCTGCGGCAGCACAGGCTGGCCTTCTCCAGCAGCAGGCAGAATTAGAGAGGAAGGCAGCTGAGTTGGAGAAGAAGGAAAGGGAATTGCAGAGTAACGCAGCCAGCATTAATCGTGAGTAGTGCTTCCTGCCCTGCCCACAATGAGTGTGATGCCCAGGGAAGCCTGCATCACTTGGTTTGTCAGGATTTGGTGAAGGCTCAGCCAGTCCAAGTGTATGCAGCTTTTTACAAGTTGTGTGTCTTTCCTCTAGTCCTTCACAGCTGTGGCAACCCTCTTGGGACTGTACCTGTCATCCCGTAACTTACACAGTGGGAAACAAGCTCAGAGATGAGATGCTGGAGACCAGCTCTGGTGGGTCTCTGCCCTTGAGCGTTCTCTCAGCATCTGCACTTGGCCACGTTAAGTTCTTCAAACACCAGTTTTGTATCTGTGTCTGAGCTGTTGTGTGATGCTTCCACATTAAGGCTTTTCACTGAGAACAAGTAGAGCTTTTTTTTTTCCAGTCTTGAGGCTCTCTTAAACACAGAAAAACAATATTTTCCCCTAATCTTGGTTTTAAATGGCTGAATCTGGACTTGCAGTGCTGAGTGATGATGGCTGTGATGGCCCTTTGGCCATTGTAGGGGAATTCTGCCTCCCATGGAGGAAAGCCCTCAAACTGGGCTGGTCTGTCTTGCTGCTGCCAGCAGATTTAACACATCACTGCTGTGCTGCCTACTCAAACATAGTTATTTACCAAGACCTAGCCTATTCCAAGGTTTTAATGTCAGTATATATGAATGGCTACTTGCAAATTATGGTGTGTTAACTAGCCTTTCAGTGAGAGAAGAGCAAGTGAAGAACTGCTCCTTTCTCCTTTCCACAGCAAGGCAAAACAACTGGCCACCTCTTCCCAAGAAGTGTCCGATCAAGCCATGTTTTTATCAGGATTTTTCTGCAGACATCCCAGCTGACTACCAGCGGATATGTAAGATGCTGTATTACTTGTGGATGCGTAAGTAATAGCTTGAACTGCAATAAAAACTCTTTCTAAGATTCTGTATCAAATGCCAAACTTTTACCCTTGCAGACACCACCTACAGAATTTACTGTGGGTCAAATAATGTCTCCCTTCCTTTTTTATGAAGGCAAATGTAAAGGACTCCAAGTTTATGCTTTGGGAATCGCTCATTCATGATGGAATTTTGATTGTTCTTTAATGGAGACTTTAACAACTCTCCTGAGACTCTGAAAGACAGTGGATAACACAGTTCAGAGACTGGGTGCAAAACAGTCTCAACTGTATTTGTCAATTTTGGTGCTCTGAAAAGATTTAAGATTTGGTTGTAAACAGCAGTATCCGATGAAGTTCTTGGGTTAATCTCCATTTTCCTTTCAAGGGAGGCAAGGAAATTAAATGGCCCAAAGTCTCCTTAATTTCTGTAGAGCTCCATGTGTTCAGTCAGAGGTTAGGGATGCTGCTGAGTTTTCCAAGAACTTACTGATGCTTTTTCTCTCTTCCATCCTGAACAGTGCATTCGATTACCCTGTTCCTAAACCTGCTTGCTTGCCTGGCATGGTTCACAGTCCAGAATGAAAGAGGAGTAGACTTTGGTCTTTCGATCCTGTGGTTTATTTTATTTACTCCTTGTGCCTTTCTCTGTTGGTACCGACCAATTTACAAGGCTTTCAGGCAAGTACTGTTTTCTTCTGTAACGGGGATGTATCTTTTAGTGTGAGAAACTTTTTGGTTTTATCTGTTCTGGTTGTATATTGCCTGCAGGATTTTTCCAGCTCTTTGCATCATTAAATAGATCAAACCCACATATTGGAAGTATCTGATGGAACTTAGTTACGGTGGTCCTTTCTCGTCTTGAAATCCAAGCCTAGCCAATCATAGGGTCCTACTTTTTTTATTCATTTCTGAGAAACTGTTTGGTACATTAATGTGTCAAGCACACTGTGTGCGTTAAGGAAGCTGCTTTCAGCCCATCTTGCACTGGGCAGAGCAGTGATTTTGTGATATACAGTGGACATGTTGTAAGTTGTGTTGCTGCATAAGTTGCTCCTGAAATCACCTCCCCTCAGCAGCTTTCCCCAGGAGAAAGGAGTTCACTGAAATTGTTTCCCTCCTCTTAGAGAAGGGAGTCTGCAGGGATCATGTCCCTGGGTTTCACTCCTGCTGCCATCTCTTCTGCAGGTCTGACAGTTCCTTCAGCTTCTTCGTCTTCTTTTTCATCTTCTTCTGCCAAATAGCAATCTACATCATCCAGGCTGTTTGCATTCCTGGCTGGGGAGACAGGTAAGCTTGGCTTCATGGGCTGCTGTGCCACAGCCCGGCATGGATGCTCTTTCTCACCAGGGCTGTGACTGTCGGAAGCTTTGGGTTCCAATTCTGATAGCTGTCTGTTTTCTCCTGTGGCTTTCCTCTCTTACCTGATACACAGCTTTGGCAGGTCCCAGCTGGGCTGCCTCTCTCCTCCGCTCTTTCTGTCCTAGTCCCAGCAAAGGCACGTACCTTTGCTGCTGCTGCGGGCCAGCACTGAAAGAAGTATGTGAAATCTTCTACACCTATTCTGCCCCTTCCCCCTCAGTTAATACATATAATACTTATCCCTTCTTGATGCTGAGCCTCTAGTGTTGACTGCATCTGCCTTGTGTTAAAGTGGAGCCTTCCCTGATGGAGGCTGTAACATGGGGGTGAGGGATCTCTGTCTGACCTAGAGTCTGGGTACGGCTCAACTTGATACTGCTGCTAGCAGCTCGATTCTGTCTGCAAACTCTTCCTGAATTTCTCTTGAGTGTGTTGTTGGTGGGCTGTGCTTCAAAAAATAAGCAGAGAGGGTTTTATCATCCGTGTTTCTTGATGGCATTGTACAGAAGGGTGAGTCTGGGCTTCTGGTGTGGGTCCAACAGGCTTCTTGTCAGCAGTTACCCCTTGCAGTGAAAGCACTGGCTTTCTTTTCGCCTTGCTGCGTTGGCCGCAGATCAGATTCCTGAGTTACTGTGAACAGTAAAAAGGTTAACAGCTAGTGGTTTTTTCTCCTGAGGGGGAGCCTTCAGGTGATGAGCATGGTGAAACTGTGCTCTATTTTTGCCCGCTGCCTGCAGAACGGCTCATGGGCAAAGCTGTCCTTGTGCTCCCTCCCCTGCTAGCTGGTGCTGCCTTAGTCATGGGGGACTGGGAGGGGGCAGTCTGTTTTTAGTCTGAGTCTGGAGAGCATGCGTTGAGCTTTCTGCTATGTTTCCTTGAGCCAGACAGTGCATTTATTTTTGGCTGTAGTGCATGGTGTGCCTTTCTGCTTCCTTGTAATGAGAAAGAAGTTGTGCAGCACATTGAATGGGACGGTTTGGCTCAGTTGATTCCCTCTCTCCTGGTGGCACACAGCTTGCTTGGTTTAGCAGTTGGAAAGATTCCTTTCTCCAGCACCCAGGAGGGTGTTTTGAGTGAGGCATCTTGGTATTTTCGCCCACAGCCAAGCATTGATAATTCCCAGCATCCTTGCTGCCCTTTCCCTTCAACAACTGCCAGTTTCTTCCTTTCTGTAGCTCTTTACTTCATCCCTTCCTTCCTTCCTTTTCCTCCCCCTCCCAACACTTACATCTCTGGCCATGCAGACATGACCTCTTTTTGAGGTGACATGTAGGTCTAGCTCCAGATCTGCTAGCTGATCTCTTCCAATTTAGATGTACCAGCCTATCTTTACACTACTTGGCTGAATTTTGAGAAAGTGTTTGTGGAAGTGACTTGATTTATGACAGTGCCAAGGGTATTGATTGCTGCCTAAGGCAGGGTGGGCCAGGGGTGTAACAGGTGGGGGGAGCATGATTCTCTTGTGTAGAGGTGGATTGCTTCTAAAAATGATAATGGAAGTTCTGGCCCCCAGACAAGTTCCTGGATGAGCTCTGGGTCCCTGTTACCACAGCCATTATATTTGGGTTTGCACTTCCCTGTAACCTTCCACCAAGGCTCTTGTGCAACCGCTAGTGCCTCTTCTCCATCTCATCCTGTGAGTCAAATGCTCAGCAGGCTCACCCCGCTCTCCTCTCTCTTGCAGCGGATGGATCGCGGCGCTGTCTGAGCTGCATGGGAACCTGGCAGTGGCTGTTATCATGATGGTGGTGGCAGGATTCTTCACGCTGTGCGCAGTTCTCTCGCTCTTCCTCCTGAAGCAGGTGAGTGGCTTGGAGGCAAGGCGAGGTCTTGGCTGAATCGCAGATGTGCAAGTCAGGCTGTTCCCAGGGTATCCTAGGGTTGCCACCTCCTCTCACCTGTCTGGGGATTAGCTTGCTTTTGAAGATATAATTGGGGTGCTGTCAGGTCAAATGCTAATTAAAGTATTTTTTGCTTGTACTTCCTGCATTGATGCCAAGTTGCTTGAACGCTAAGGGGACTTGCAGGTGGGAAAGTAGCATTTGCAGAGGGAACAAGAGGCCCAGATGCTTCAGTAAGGCATGCCATTAACCATGCATGTTAGTATAAAGGAGAGAGTAGTAAGGCTTGCTGTGTTGGCTGCTGTCACATATTAAATAGTCCAGAGAAGATGGCCTAAATGTCACCCTCCTCAAAAAGACATCAAATTTCTTGCACCTCCCTTTAGCTGTCTGTCCAGAGCTGGCTGAGCAGAGAAGGCCATTGCTTTGTTTGGGTATCGAGGGCTTTACAAGCACTGCTACCACAATGTTGTGGGACTTTTCAAAGCCTGGTGGGATCCAAACAAGTGCCTTTCCACTGGCTCCCAAACACAAGCCCTGCTTCCTCTTTCTGATTGTCCACACAGGGGTTGCATTTCTGCAATTAACAGCAGAAATGTAGCTTTGGGGAAGGCAAGGACAGACTGAACTGGTCCTGTTTCTGTTACTTACTCTTCCTTTTTTCCTAAATTGTATCTTGAAGGCAATACCTGATGCTCGTAGTTGCAGGCACCTTCAGGTCCTGTCCTTCAAGTGTCTGTAAATGCAGGGGTTAAGTGTCCATACCATCACAGTGCAGGGAGAGGAGTTTTTGGTCTGATACCTGCCATTTTGCTGAGACCTCCACATTTTACCACAATCGATGGTCTCCTGAAATCTGCAGCATCATGTGCTGGGTGAGATAGAGCCAATGGCTCCAGCCCATTCTCTCTAGCTGCCAAGAGAGCTGGTTAGCGATGGGGCCAAGGAAAAGCAAGCAGCAGCCTGTACCTGCAGGCCGATTTTTCTTTTTCCTGTGTTTTCCAGGTGCATTCCCTGTATCGGCGCACAGGAGCCAGTTTCCAAAGGGCCCAGGAAGAGTTTTCCCAAGGCATCCTCACCAACAGGAGCTTCCAGAATGCAGCCGCTGGAGCCGCCTCCTCAGCCGCACAGAGTGCTTTCCGGGGAAACTAGCCCTTCCTGGGGCTGCCTCCCCCTCGCTTCCTCTGCCATCATCACCCCAACCTTCATTTTTTTTTTCTAAAGATGCACTTTTGGGGGGTACCATGTTAGCTCTGTGGTGCCGACTCCAGATGAGAAGAGGTCTGGTTTTTTAGCTTCAGCGGGCCTATGTTTATAACTGTTAGTTTTCCCTGTCTTGTTTTAGGGCATGGGGAGATAGGGGAGACATTCTCTGAAGCAAATATGTTTCTCTGTCCAGGACATACAGAGTGTTTGTCTTCCTCCCCTCACCCTGTCTGTAGCAGGAAGGCAAGGGGAAGCAGGTTTTTGATTTTACTCTCTGTTCTATTAGCCTTTGCTATGAAGAATTTGATTATCTGCTGTTTTGGGGGGGTTTTGTAACTTGCATGTAGTTCATGTCATTAATTTTAAGAGCAGAAACTGTACTTTTGGTTTATTACACTTACACGATGCTGCATTTTGACCTCTTAACTGCTTGGCTTCCTGAGAGTTGGGGTATTGTGGCACAAAGGAAAACCTGGGAGCAGGGGGGTTAGAGAGCAGGGGAAATGTCTCTCTCCTTCACCCCCCTGTGGCAGATCCGGCTCCCACTTCCACGAGGATCCTGCAGATGATGGCCCTCGGGGCTGCTGTGCCCTTTTGCCAGCACCCACAGCCCTGGACACCAGAGAAGGGGAGAAGGGAGTCTTCACTGTGGCCTTAAACCAGGGGAGGGAGGGGAAAAGGGATTTTTGTTTGACTTGCCAGATCTGCTGTTCGGAAGCCGCGGCACTGAAGATGCTGTCTCAAACACCACGTGGTGTCTGCGATGTCCTTCTCCAGCTAACCCTGAGAGCCTGCCAGCCAAGAGCATGAATGAATTTTTCTCCAGGGACAACTCCTCCCACATATTTTTTCTTTTTTTTTTCATCTGGGAAAGAACTGGTTTGATGTGTTTAGCTTCAAAAGCTGTGTCCTGAGATGGAATGTCCCTCTGGATGTGGATGCGGTGCAGGGATTGACGTGCCGGTTGTGGCAAGGCGCGATGGGGACAGTTTCCTCTGCCCCAGCCCTGTGTGGGAGGGGGTTTCACTTGCAAACTTGACTTTGTGCTGCCTCTTGCTGTCCCCTCCTGCCCAGGGAGGGGGTTGGATTTTGTGCCCCCATCCTTTGCTGACAGAGCGTGAGCTGGGGGTCTGCCTGGTGCCCTCCCAACTTCCTCATCCAGAAATCGGCATTTTTACACCCCCTTCCTCATGTATTATTTTTTTTTTTCCCCCGCGTCTGATCTTTTCATGTTAAGAAAGAAAGAAGTTAATAATAAAATGTATATGTGCTCAAAGCAAAACTCCCCCTCCTGTCTGCGGGGGGCGTGGCCGGGGCTGGGGGCGTGGCCG